TTTTAAGTCTTCCTTTCATGCAAGCACTGATTTTATGGACGGGATCGTGCACTTGCGAGGCCTTGTCTTTGCGACGGTCGTGGGGGTCTCCATTCATTTGCGGGAGGCCATTTTCCAGAGTGCATCGCTACTAGTAACAAGGTGCATCGCTACTAGTAACAAGGGCGCTACTAGTAGCTCCTGGCATTACTACTAGCAACAAGAAACTACTAGTAACAAGGTGCATGTGTCTCTTCACGTGTGCTATCGGTCCATTTGTGGCCAGTGGCTGCGCGGGCAGACCCAGTTGGGCCGAAAGACATGGCCCGAGACTTGGTGAATTTTCGTTTGCACCTGGTCCGTTTTGACCGAAGATGGTAGAGGAAGTTGAACACTTGGATGCCATCCAGTGGTTGAATAGCTAATAGTTTGAAGGCCATCCCTGTGAGGTTGGAGGCCATTACTTCTAGTAACAAGAAGCTACTGTAGTAGGTTGGTTTATATAACACCCCTAAGGCCACAACTTCTGGTTTGGCTCCTTTATGCTCCGGATCGCGCCTCAAAGGAGCTGCAGAAGTTTGTCCATTTCTCCGGATCGCTTTATCATCTAATGCTCGAGCAGTTGTGTTGCTCTGTGTCATTTCTGATCTAAAGATGAACTCAGGTGCTCGTCACACCAGCTGGGATCCTTGGAGCTACTAGTATGAGAGAACCAAGAGGTTTGAAGGGCTTCTGGCTGCAACATGGTTGGAATCTTCTTTTGACTGGAGTTGTGCAGAAGGATATCGTGCTAATCACCTCTTGGTTAAGTTCTAGATTTGTTCCAGGCAGTATACAACTTGGGTTCAGTGCATCATAGCATGGAACTGAAGCCTAAAGTATGGCAGATCGAGGAAGGAATGTGAACCTCTTTTTGGTGCATTCTTCCATTGGAGGCCATCGCTCTTAGGTTGGAGGCCATGTCTTTATGTAGGCTTTGTCCTGTAGGTTTGAGAAAGGACTGGGCACCTTGTGAGGCTACGGCCTTGCCCTGCTACGGTCTTGCCAACTCACCCGGCAGCACTTTCTGTGCCTTGGATGGCGAAACAACAATTTGCACGTTGGATCGCAACAGACGTTTAAGGCCGTTGAAAGGGCAAGATGAAGAGGTTCTGACTCAAATAGGTAACTTCCAAGTAGCGGGTAGCTGTCCGAAACATGACTACTCGCAAAGGCTTCCTTGCAGTGTGTCATTGTCACCCAAGGTGTAGTTGCTGCGATCAACTTGCTTTTCTACTCTGACTTCTTTAGCGAGTAGGAAAAACAGACCGTGAGGCTTGTTGTGGCGCTTGAAGCAAAGCAGGATTTTGAGTGCAGTGCTATTGAAGCATCAAATGAAAGAAGCTTGATATTAATTTACTTTGGCTGCGCTTTGGCTGCGCTTTGGCTGCTTTGTGCCACTGTGCTCACACTTTGTGCTTTAGGCTCGGTGAAAGAAAACTAGTCAGACTTGGACGCCTCTCGGGGCGCCACGCGAAGGGGCCCATTTTACAGAATCTTACCGTGTTGGAAGCTTGCAATGTACCGGATACTCGCACTGGCTTTGGCGCTCTCGGCTGCCGGGCTGGACACCTTAAGCATTTCGCCACGCGAAGGACGCTTGACTACTACGACGCTTGGCAATGGCCTCCAACCTAATTGCGGTGGCCTCCCCCTAATAGCGATGGCCTCCAGCATTATAGAAATGGCCTCCAACCTAATAGCGATGGCCACCAGCCTGATAGTGATGGCCTCCAACCTACTAGCAATGGCCTTCCCCTGAAGGGAACTTAATCCTGAGACAAGAAAAGACATGTCCCCTTTTCTATGTTTTTGCTCAGATCCTTAGGCCTCATCATGTGCAAATTTGGCCTCCTCGGTGCCTTTTGCTCACAGCCAAGGTTGAAGGAATCTGCGCAATCCTCTCCACTCCCAGACTTGAATGAGCCTCTTTGCTCCCCAGCAGCAAACAAGGCAGGAGCATGTGAGGATGAACATTTGTTCAACACCTCAACACGATTCAGCTTCCATGTAGAGCGTTGAAATGCTGTCAGGAGCCAACATGGGGCTGCACAGCATCTTGGCAGACGAGGAACTGGTGTCTAGTTGGAGAGGTTCAACAAAGATCCAATCTCACGAAGAAAGAAGTTGGCCCAAGAGCCCAGCGAGTACGTGAAAGGTGCTATTCAATTTGCCATTTATATTCTTGCACGTTTTCTTAACATCATTTTGTGAACATTTTTCGATCTTTTTTGAAGAAACAGCAGCCGAGGCATACGAAGTCCTGTAACTGTCACGTGAAATGATCTTTGAAAAGTGAAACTTCCAGCGCGCAAAATTTGCAACCCTTCCACACATTCAACGTCCAGGACATCCAACCTGATCCTCTTAGATGACGAAATCCGCGCGCCTGCCCCGCAGAATGCATCCTCACGGGCCCTCTTCAAATCGACCACGCCTGCCAACGTTTTTGCAACCCCCCCGAACTCCTGCGCCTTCGACGCATTTTGCAACGCCCTGCGCCTGCCATGCGAAATGCAGTTTGAAGCTCCAAGAGTGGTCCGTACGTGCGGTTTTCAACGATTTTGAATTTTGAATTCCGAATCGCTCTCTTGCCAAAGTGTGGTGCAGATTTTACCAACATTCAACTTCCAAAAGTCGTCCTTTTGACCCGCCGGAACCACAAAACATTGGACAAACACAGTGTTTCGTGCCTTGGCTAGGTTTCTTTGTGCGTCTCTTCTTCTGAGCTTTCTGGCTTCTCTGAGCTTGCTGCATCCTCTGAGCTTTATTCCTTCTGATCTTTGTTCCTTCTGAGATTTGTCCCTTCTGAGCTGTACTTGTGCTGAGTGAATGAATTTGTTGCATCTCTCCACAACTCGGAATTTTGACTTTTAGACTTCCCTCGAGCAAAAAGTATAGATATATGTAGAACATAAGAATGTAGGCAATTCATCTACAGCATTTCTGGGGTTGTCTGGTGACAGCTCAGGGATTGCCCTATCGTCAGCACCACGCCCCTTGCGCTGCTTCTTGAAGGCAAGTCGAACGCCAGCGCCGCGCTTGGTTCCTTGGAGCTGTGGTGAGGTTGCTGTTCAGGGTTTTGTTGGGTGTTGTCCATGCAAGATGTCGGGGCAATTCTGTAGTTATCAGGTACCACGGCAAGCACGGCCACATGCACGCCCATTGAGCCTCGGACGTCGGCATGTACTGTACCAGGTGTAGAATTTTCATCCAAACGAACAACTTGGATGAAACCATGTTAAAGCCTCAGAGACAAATCCTGCGACACTCTGTTTTTGTTGATTGATTGTTGCCTCATCAAAACCCAGCCCTTCAAGTTTGACCACGCTCTGAACCGTCCTCACGGGACATGAAGTAAAAGGATGTAAATGACAAAAGGCCGTTGCTCCGAACCGCTTCACAGTCGGTCCATTTTCGGGCTGAACGAGGAAACAGTTTCGGCGAATCGGTTAATTGCTACGTCCCAAACTTGATGGATATGTTTTCGACTTGATGGTTTTCTGAGAGCTGGATGATTTTACATTGGACCTCACACGCCGCAGGATTGTAATGATGAACCGCATCGCGCGCAATCCCCTGAACCACCAGACGGACCTGAAGAGGCGCAGGGTCACACCATGTCACATCCTTTTGACCAGTTGAGACAATTTAAGGTGTTTTAGACAATTCATTTAAAAGTTAACTTATTAGTTATATAACGTTTTTTTTAAGTTTAAAACATAGTCAGTGGATAGTTAAAAAAAGTTAACTACTTAGTTGAAAACATAGTTAAAAATAGTTCAAAAAATAGTTATCTTTTTACATTATTTTCTTACTATTTCTTGAAGACTTTGTTGTACATTTGTTCTGATTTTGATGCACTTTGGCACTTTGTGGCACTCTGGCATGTTGTGGAAGGGCAATTTGGCATGTTGTGGAAGGGCACTTTGTTATGGCATTGCTTGTTTGTTATAACACTTTGCTGGGGTAAAAGGGCACTTTGTTGAGAGAACACCTTAAATTGTCCGAACTGGTAGGGCAGGATGGCGACCTGAGATCTGTAGGCAAGTGGAACTTCTGACGTATTTTGCCTCGAATCACAGCAGGGTTTGCCTTCCTTAAGCCTGGCCATCGAGTGTCAGGTTGGGCCTCCAGTGGCTTGGCGGTTAGCGGAGTTGTGCGTCGCAGGAGTAGCGAAGTGGCGAAGTGCTCTTTGGAACATCCAGTGGAGTATTGCAACTAAACTAAACTGTTATAACTATTCATAACTATTCAAGTATGGCAAATATTTCTTTGCCAAGCAGATATATTTGCTTTGTTGCCTCCCCTGTTGTCGGTGAAGGCCAGCCGATATTTAGATCCTATTGTTTTGGACACTTCTGACTGCTAGAAGAAGGGGGCCGTGAGAACTCCCGTAAAGACGTGCAAGTGACCAACGTGCCCTCATGTCCATGGATATGTTGTGCATGCGTTCGATTGTTGTCATCAGTCGATGGTTCTGTGATTGTGTTGATTGGGAAACTAGGCTTGCGAGGTTGGAGTATGCCAAACTTTGACTTTAACTTTGCCATCGGTCGCTGCTTTCTTTAAACATGGGTGGTACATCCAGACGTGCTGATCAAGGCACGCTAAGGCAGCTTTGTGTTCAAGGATGTTCACACTTGGATGGTGCAATGAAATGGCATGAGATGGCCAAATTGATGCATTGCACTGGCCGTAAGACCCGTAAGACCTGCGATGGCCCAAAAGTAATTTCCTTCTCCAAGGTTCGCACCACCATCACTTTCAATCCAGTACAAGGAGCCAATGTGGGCAGTGTCAATTGTTTCTTTGGCAAAGTTGGGCCCTCCTTTTGGGCTGGGCTTTGCTCAGTCAAGTCATGTTACATGAGAAAGATGTATCTTAAACAGTTTTGTTTTGTAGGAGGTTCTTCTTTCAGGTTGGATTTTTTGTTTCTTCAAGCCATGTGTAAATGCTTATTTTTAGTGGGTGACGGATGTGTGAATGGGATATCTCGTTTTCTAGACGTTTGGAAACTTGGTGCCTAAAATCTAACAATTTCATTAAGAAATCCAGTTCTTTCTGCTCCCATACAAAAACCTACAGTATTAGATTGAAAGCCATGTTCAATGTCTCTTCTCAACTGCTCTCACCAGCGCTGCAGTGAATCAGCGATTCCTGGACCGAGCAGACTTGCCATATATACCTATCGGGTTACGTTTTCAAAGCCTCTTCAAACATGTTATCAACGCTGCTTTGCCAGACCCTGTCCTCCCTAAATTGCGCAACAACCACCCATTTGAGCCCAACATCAACGGATAACTTCTGACGGTTCACTGCCCCTCAACTATAGCTTCACAAAGTTTTTCGAAACCCTCTCACCAGTGCTTGCAGAAGTTGTTTGTTGTTTGTTTGTTGGTCGGCTGCACTCACTAAACATTCCTGGATTAACGGAGGAATGCCGGGTTCTGAGAGGTGACCGCACTTAAAAAGAAAAGGTTCTGGAACATTGGAATATGTGTTTCACGTTTGCGGGTGAAAGATTCTCGATCCTTTCAGCATAGTGGCTGTACATCGTTGTTTGCGCAGAATTTGCGCACCAGATTTCAGTGATTTCAGGCCAACAGAGATGCATGACAAGGGAAGGGGGGCCCTGCAATCCACAACCCCGCAATTTGAATCAGTTTGATGCTGATTGATCCTCAAAGCCAAGAAGGAACTTTCCAGGTGTTTTCATCGCCGCTTGATTCGCAGCGACTCTTGTATTGTTTGTTTTTGCCTTTTGCTTTTGTTTGAAGAATGTTTTTGCGACTGCGCAATTTGAGCCTGGAAGAGAGCGAGGTGCAAATGTAACATTTTTGTCCAACAAACTTCTCATATTGCTTTGGTCAGGCGAACCTGCGTGTAGTGTTTGCTGCCTTTACTATCGTCAGCATCATCATGGGTCTTGGTTTAGATGACTTGAACTGCAAGTGATTTCCCATGCAGTTGTTTTTGTGGCAGGCGTCAACCTGGTAAATGGCCAGAGCTTGGGATACGCGTGGATTGAATTCCCAAGTACTTGGGCTCTGCATTTTGTGGCGCATTCTTTATTGTCTGCACGCGCGCGCAGGCAACGAGGAACGCCACCGCGCAGTAGTGCGCCTGAGCCGTAAGCGGGCTGATTTCCTCGCCTTGCCAATATTTATAAGTTGGATTGGTTCAGACAACTATGACATGGAGTTGGCCACTCCGAGCTGGGCTTTGCCATCCGTCAATACGTCAACTTTTCGTCATGTAGTGCTTGTTTCGGTTGTTTTTCCCTTTTTTGCCGGGTTCACTTTGTTTGCCTTTGGCAGGTTAATCGGTTTCACCGTACTCACCACCAAGTGCCTCAACGCACCTTGGTTGGAAACGCGCGCCTCCAGAGGGATCTTGACCAGGTGGGTTCACCTTTTTGCGTCTCTGATCCTCTTGTGGCCTTGTGGCAGGTGATTCGGGCAGCGAAACGTGAGTTCCAACATATGCTCCCCGCCCGCGGCGAGTGGACCATGCTTGAGCATGATGAAATCCCGCCGCGGGCGACGAGTGAGCCGCCTTTGTGCGTAAAGAAGTAAAGGGGCGTGTTGTTTGGAAGCTGCCATGTCAGCTTGCGCGCGTGGGATGGTGTTTCTTCAGCACGGGGGGGCCTGGGGTTGGTTCATTGCCGGGCAGGGTGTTTTTCCTACTTCGTCCTTGTTTGGCATTTTCTGTTCTTGGCGGTTGATAACTACCCAACCTGTTTCAGTCGCTTCAGGAGCACTGCGCCAGTGCCCAATCGCAGCGTCAGCTGCGCCGCGAGGAGCGCCGCTTGGCGGTGAACCAGCTCAGCGTCATCTGTAGAGTCCATAGCGCACTGCACCATCACTGCAGCCTTGGGTGAGAATTCAATCCGTGAATAGCAACACAGTCTTTTAAAAAAAATTGTTATATAAGTTAAGTGGGCTTCTGGCAAGATCAAGACTACCCACACAAGTCACAAGCATTACATAACAGAACAATGCAAATCAAAACAACATTAAACTTGGACAAGAAACTGCCTGACCTGTTCCTCCTCCCCTCCTATTCTGTATGAACTCATCTAGAAATGCCGGTTCCGTGCTCCGTTTGCATACCTCACCTTTGAATCGCGCCATGGAAGTCACAGGAACCGTCAAAGCCTTCAACCCGTACAAGGGATGGGGCTTTGTGCAGCGGAGGGACGGGGAGGACATATTCCTCCACAAGAAACATGTGAAGGGCGTATGCCCGCAGAGAGGAGACAATGTTCGCTGCAACCTCCGCTTCACAGAGAGGGGAGCAGTGGCTGAGTGTGTCCGGGTCGATTCACCGGTGACCACATATTATGGCTGGATAAAGAGCTACAATTCAGCCCGAGGATTTGGATTCATATCCTCAGAAGCATTTGAACAGGACATCTTTGTTTTATGGTCCGAACTTCCTTGGGGCTTCGGTCCTGTGGGCTGTTCATGCATGTTCAATGTGAGCATGGACGGGAAAGGTCCTGGTGCAAGGAAGGTGAAACTCTTGAGCGCAGCGAGCGCTCAGTTTCACGAATTTCAACAGATGAAGTGGATGTGGGACTGGATCATGGCTGGCGGCAGCGCTTATAACTGCAAAGGCTGGAATTGCAACGGCTGGTACAGCAAGGCCTGATGCTCTCAGCGCGACGCGCGTAGTTTTTTTGCCATGTTGGTGCTTCGTGTCTCAAATTTCCTGTGTTTTGGATGATGAGTTTGGCTGCATAAACATTGCATGTGCATGTTTGTTCTTTGTTGTTCTGAATCGCTGACCGCGATTGGAAAGATGAGTGTACCAAGAAAAGATTCAAAACACTTCATGCAAAGGGAACCCCCGCATGATTGCTTGCCAATCAGATCACTTTTCGTAGGCAGATGGCCATGCGACAAGGGCACGCAAGCTACTTGCCAGCACATGCCAGCACGATAGTGCCAACCTTGGCTACGTGATGCGCCGGCCTTGGCGGCCTGAGGCAAGCTCCTGATGAGTCAGGCCTTCAAAGCGGTGACCCGGAGCAGGCAAGCTGCCTGCTCTGGAGCTGTTGTTGCATGATTCCCACATGTTGGTGCACGAGTTGGAAAGACTAGACTGTTGTTTTTCTCAGCGGTGATAATGGATTGTATTGGATTGTCCTATATCATGAACCATGGAATCATTCCGCTGAGTGTTCTCACATCGTTTCACATGCCGCTTCCATGTTCTGAGCTGTTGAAGAATGCCAGGCCGATCCAGAGACCATGACGCATGCTGTGCAAGGCGCGGCCGTGCATTTATCTGTGTCGAAAAAGATGAATCAAACCGAATTGACTTCAAGACAACTACAACAAGTTTGGTGAGCATCACATGTAGATGTACTTGGTAGCCTGTTTGCCCTAATGTGGATCTGATTCAATTCGATGTATTCCCACTTTATGTTGCCCAAACCTCCTGTGATGTTTTGTTTGTCCCTCCTGAGCATGTCAGCAGGCCATCCTGAGGAAAGCTTGGTCCTCACGACCAGCTCTCCGAAATACGATACAAAAACGTGTCATCTTTTGGCGTTGCCTTCCATCATGCTGGGAATGATAATGGATTTTGCGTGCGACTTTTCTTGGGTTGGGTCGTGTCAACGAGCTGCTGCGGATTTGGCGGATTACGCAGTCAGCCAGTTGCAAGCCCACCAGGAGCAAGCGCTCTTACAATGTTTCCGTTTTCATTTCAACGTGCCTTGTAAAGTGAAAGAGGAAACGAAAGCAGCGCTGAGATCGTTGCTAGCATGCGTGAGATTCACCTGCACGTTCGAACGCAAGAATCCATGTGCTGTGGTGAGATTTATCCATGGGCTCTCAGACTGTCTGCATGATTCTGAAGCAGGTGTCCGGATGGGAGCCTTCAGTTTGTTGAAAGAGATGGCAGAAAGACGTGGGAAGCATGGAAAGTTGCATCGTTTGATTGCAAAGAGCATGTTGGAACTGTTGGATGGAGGATTCAAGAATCTGAGTGAAGGTGACAAAGAACGGGCCATGTCCATACTAGGCACTTGCAAAGATTTAGGCCGGTTTGGGCGACCAGTCGTTTCTGTTCTGCTCACTGCAGCTAGGAAGCGCCAAAGAGGTGCTGCCTCGGCCTTGATGTCGGTGTTGCAGGCGGAGCCGTTGAAGAAGCACCCGAGTGCCATGAAGTTTGTGGAGTCTGCGGAGTCCATCTGTCCCCCAAAACGTTTTCAGTTTCAGTGGATGGACATACAGTATATTACACTTTCTGCCAGCTTTGAAAAGGCAGGAGACTTGAGGCCTTGAGGAGAAAAAAGGGCTTCAGCCGCCAGGGATCTTGAAAGGAAAACCTTGCCTTGGTTGCTCCTCAGCACAGGGCTTCCTGGCAGACAGCTGTCCGATTGAACAAAGGGCTGTTGCCTTGCCAGGAGCCCACTGAGCAAGTAGGTCACGTAACTGAGAAGACTCTCAGCAACTGTGTGAATTCCATGTGTCTCATCATTAGCTTTGCTGCCTTTGAACAGGAATATCGGAATATTTGAGTTCATAAACTGGGGAGTGGCAGGGTAGATGCTGGGGCAGTTTCTGAGGTCTTTCCAGGAAATTGTTGAGGATGGCTACACTGAGCACTGGGTTCATGTTGCTTCAGCTGCTGGACGCCAGCAGTTGTGCTCAACAAAACAGGGTTGTTTTTGTAAAATCTGATGTGTTCCAAATCTATGACCTGAACGCCCGAGACGCAAATGGTCTGCTCACTCGGAGGGTTCAGTTAAGTTACACAATACTGAAGTTCGTCAGCTGACCTCAGCGCCTCAGATGCGGGATGTTTTGCTGTTGCTGAGGCTGGACGCTAAGAGCGATGGCCTCCAACCTCAGAGCGGTGGCCTCCAACCCACTAGCGATGGCTTCCAACCTACTCGCGATGGCCTCCAACCTCTAAGAGCGATGGCCTCCAACCTCTAAGAGCAAAGGCCTCCAACCTCTAAGAGCGATGGCCTTCAACCTAGTAGCGATGGCCTCCAACCTCTAAGAGCGATGGACTCCAACCTCTAAGAGCGATGGACTCCAACCTCTAAGAGCGATGGCCTTCAACCTATAGTAGCGATGGCCTCCAACCTCTAAGAGCGATGGCCTCCAACCTCTGAGAGCGATGGCCTCCAACCTCTAAGAGCGATGGCCTCCAACCTCTAAGA